CTGCTGCTAAGCATATTGTACCACATGTATCTGCCATGTCATCGACCAAAATCGCCACTCTGCCACGAACATCGCCCACGAGAACCATCTTGTCAACTTCGTTGGCACGTTTGCGTTCCTTGTGTATCAACGCAAAGTCCACGTTCAAACGGTCAGCGAGTGACGTGACCCTGAACACAAGGCACAGATGCTTATGCAGACAAGCGTCAACAAAAAAATTAAAGTCATGAGGGAACAACAATAATTAAAAGAGTGATGAAGGAATTCGCTAAAGCTGTTAACAAAATAATTTGTCCTCCGAGGAAAGCTCGTAGCGGATTCATACTTTAATGTTGATAAACTGTCATTGAGTTCTAATATCTATATTGTATTATTTAAATGGCTTAGTACCGATTTGGAGTACAAGACGTCAGCGAAGACTCTCGCAGAAACTCTTCGAAAAATTCAATGCTATGATTCGATACTAGACTTTATTTTACATTTTATACACAAAATTAAATGCTCTTGACGCTTACATCGATAATCGATTATGGTTTTATTAAACAATAAAGTTTTCGACGGCAGAGTTTAATTTATTCAAAAAAGGTCTTATAGGATGGAGGGGTGGGGGGTTCGCGAGGATCGTTAAAACATCCTTAAACAGCACACAATATACGTAATATACAAAGGAAAATACAAACAAAGGTATATAAGCAATAACAGTAAACCAAGAAATTCAAAGCACGACTACTGCCAGCAAGTAAACCAAAACAGTGAAGTAAGGAAACTTCTGCAAGCGCTGAGTTATACTGTAACGGTAAGTTACGATTAGCCGGAACCACGTGCAAGCAACTGAAAGTGCTCAAAGAAATGGAAGGAAGCAGGCGTGGGCCAAGTAAATGACCTGATGTGTTTATCTCTGCATAAATGAACAGAAACAAGTGACAGGAAGTCCAGAAAATCAAACAGCATACTACCTGCAATCCGCTCATACGATTTGTTCTCGTCCACACAGCACATGCAAACCGGATCAGCAAACTCTTATGACTTTTCAACAATGTGGTGTAAGGCGAAGAATTGGTCAGAGGCGCTTGGTCCTGGCGGTAAGCTGCGCTACGGTGCACTTATTGGATCAGGTGGATTCAGCTATTCCGATATCTCGTTTGCAATACACTTTTTCCTGGAGGCTCAATAAGGCAATGCCTTAATAAATAAATCATTTCCTATAGTCTTCCTTTTTGAGAAGAGTTACAACAACCCCCGTTCTGCAGTATAATGGTGTCTTCCCGCAATTATTGTGGTTTCAAAGACACATGATGCCTTGCTCGCTAAAGCTTTACGCATCTGAGAGCGGATTTTACCGTTCCGGTAACCTTACCAGTTTTGAAGCTCTTACAGCAACTCTGACTTCATCAACTGAATGATTAATATGGCCTGGTTATTGTTCTTCAGGAGAGTCACCCTGCGGTTGCTCAAAGAACCATCTCCGAAGTATGTCCTCTTTACGAAGGCAGCCGGAATTACTGTCCAGGATTCTCACACTGACTTCAATCCATCTCAGATGCGATGAAAGGTCTGCCAGAACACTTTTTCCAGTCAGGAAATTGGACTCGAACAGTTCACCGAAATTTTCCAATAAACTGACATTTGCTGCAGCCTTGCACGTTTCTTCATACCGCCGTTGATTTCAAAAATCCTTGCTTTCAGACCATTTGTTGAATGCAACTTTATTCTTGCAGACAGCCAGCTTAACCTCTCGAGTCCTCAAGTAAGTTTGTTTCTGACCCAAATCCGGTAGACAACGTCGCATCAAACCACAGCATTCGGCAGCCGCTCTAAAAGAGCTTCCTATCAGTTTTCAGATCAATGGTCATTACCAATCTGTTCAAACCGCTCTGCGATGTTCTTTGCAAGCATCGCTCTCGTATCTGCCAGAGTTAATCTTTCCCACTCGATTCTCTGGTAAATTCTGCAACCAAGTCATCACACAGTACTCCATCTTTCACAGCGAAAGGAGCCAACAACAAGGTGAT